AAATACGCGGGGTTTCCTACAGCTCCCCACAATTCGCTTTCGAGAAGGCTTGGAGAGCGGAAAAAAAGTGGATAGAGATCAGCGAAGGAAATGAAGTTATCTGCTATTGGTGGGCGGGGCGTGCTCCAATGTGGGCGGAGTTTGTTGGAAGACTTATACCTCGGTTCCAAGGAGTTCCAGAGATCGGAAAAAAATGGATAGAGGCCGGCGAAGAGAAGCAAATAAACTCCTAATGGTGGGCGGAGCATGCGTTAGAGCGGGCGGATTTGCCGCCAAGCATATAAACTGGCTCAGAGACAGTTCAAAGACCGGGAAAAACGAGGAAGAGATTAGCGAGGAAGAAAAAGATGGGTGGACATGCACCGAAATAAGAGGAGCTCACCACGAGAATTATGAATCGTAGTAGCAGTACGTAGATTGGAAAAAAGCGGTCAATGGTTGGAAGATAAGGATAAGAAGAAGGGTCAGAAGCCATTGATGGATGGAGCGGATAGAATCTAGCTTAACACGTTGACGACGAGCGATTTTTTCCTTGTCGCGCGCATGGGACGAGGCGTTTTTTGCATGCAAAGCGCCGGTAACACAGGGCAAAACTTATTTTGTAGCTCTGTAAAATCTCGAAATGCACAAAATGCTTTTGACTAGAAAGCTCCAGACACATTTACAACAAAGGAAAGTTGTCAGTACTGAATGTTTCATGAAATTTCAGTGACATTGCCTGACATCATCAAAACTTGGTAGGAGATTGATAGAAAAGGAGGAATTCCACGCAATCTTTCTTTTTGTTATTAGAATGAGTTTTCCTTTCTATGAAATTGGTATTTTACTCGCATCTAGAATCTCCTAGATGCAAAAAAATCTGCTGCCAACGAAATGACGCCTCTGTTTGACTGTTAGTTTGCTTTCATGATCAGATAAGGCGGCAGAATTGATTCAAACGACTCAATTCAAGATCAGAAAAATCGCTAGAGAAAGAATCCGGACACCGAGGGGCTAAATGGGTACTTTTGCGCTTGACTACGAGTGAAAACGTGCCTACTTGACCATCCAAGCCACATCAGTTTCGAAAGGCTGGAAATGGGGTTCTACTGACGGTGACATCATGATGAAAGGTCGATATGAACATCTTTGATGACATTTTCACACTTCTGATAGTAGAGCCTTCGTGGCTGTAATTCAATTGGCAGCGCATTTTTGCAGTTGATAAAGAATACGAGAAAAGAGTTCCTGCAATTAGAAAGATCACGGGTCGCAGCTGAGTATGGTATCTTAGGACCCTAAAGTAACTATCGAAATAGGAAACTCGCAGGTATCATTTAAGTTTCCTTGTCTCCAAGCTGTCGGTCACCATTGACCGACATCGTCCCATGGGACAGACTGCCTGTCGGCCACCATTGACCGACATCGTCGTCAACGTGTTAAAGTCAAATACCCGTAGTGTAACGGGCCAAATTCAGAAATTTACGCCGCACGAACCCACATCGCCGCAGAACTGTGTTGTGCGGTGCCAACTGATTTACTAGTAACTCAACTGATATCATCAGCTTTGAGAATGTCTCAACACTTTTTGTGTTGTTCACCCGCTAGAAAAAATTACGCTGACAACGCAGATAAAAAATTCTCCAGTCACTGTTGAATAAATCACGACATCGGCAGTCAGCAGAAAAATGTTAACGGAAAATTTTCCGAAAATGGTGTACATAGACAGAAGACCCACCGATAACAGGCGTCTTTTCCACTTTCATCATGCTCATCACTTCGTCTTCGGATGAAAAATGCTCCAGTAGAACGCAAAAGCCATCTGAGTTGATAAGCTATCACATTACAAGTGAAAATGCCATGACTTCGTTGAACAATGAAAATAAAAAAAATTACTGAATTCTCTGAACTACCCTAGACCGCTGAGATTTAAATTATCGCCAGAAGCGATGTGAGGCAGACGAAGGCCAAAGTGCCATGCAGTCCAAGTAATCAGGAGATAATCGAGATGGGAGCGGTGAAGAGGTAGATATACAAGTGGTATACCTGTCTGAAAAAAATTCACTGCTTTCAAAACGAAAAAAATGTGAAGCTGGCAACAAAAAATGTGCGTGAATGCGAGCAATGTAATGTAATAAGCAACAAGGTAATATAGCAAGCAAAGTAAAGGAAAACAAACATTCTCCGCTTCAACAACTCGCTTCATCTGCAGCGGACTGACTAATAAGCGAGTCATGAGGCGACGGAATACCTAAAAGGAATCTGCTCACAGAAGGAGAGTGTCACTCGGAGCATTTGCAGTACCTTGAAAAGGAGGTAGCCACATATTTTGCAGATAAAACGTGACAAAGTTGCTCGAATTTCGTAGTAGAATGCCACAACTTTCTTCTTTATCCCGTGCACTGAGAGATCTGGGTTTTTAGCTTCCTCAGCTTTCATCACAGCAGTCACCCTGTAGTATTCATCAAGCTCAGACATTAAAGGCACATCCCATGATCAAGTTGGTTTGATATGTGCGCGCCACTTTGAGCTGCCTTGACCTGAAGACAAAAACTGACCCCCCCCACAGAAATAGGCGTTCTCCGTGCTGATCGATTCACATGTCCTTGCGGACAATAAAAGAGTGGCTTGCCCTGGGTCGGTGTTTTCCCAAAAATTCAACAATGGAGGCGCTTTTCGAATCTGCTACCATGTCTTCTCCTGCTCTAATTTATTCTGGGCACCTCGCAAAAAAAAAAATAAACAAAAAACAAAATAATATCTTCAAGGCCCTACCAAGATTCAAGTTCATTCCTCAGACTGAATTTCAATTACGGGACGTTTATACACATGAACGAATTTTAGCAGGCTGCAACGTAGTTCTTCGGAAATTTTTCACTAAATCTGAATCGGAATAATAAGCTTGCACTGTTCACAACGCATTCAACTTTTAAGATATTTACAAAAGTTGGGAATTTTTTCTTCGAATGGAAAAAAATTGTACGACTCTAAAGTTACCTTGGCGACCCAATCACTTCCTCGTAAACATTAGGATAAGTATGAGGTAGAGGAGTGACGATCGTATAACGAAGATCTGCAAACCATGGCGATGGAGGGCGTGCTCCCGGTAGGATAGGATACGGCATCCCACCAAACTGAAAACGTATTATATCGAACTTCAACAACCAAGCCTCTCTTTTTCATCGTAATTAAGGTGCGACGAAGGAAGTGGATGCAATCGCGTCTCGAGCACTCAAAGGCTTTTTGAAAATACGATAAAATTGATTTTCATTTCAATACACAAGATTTGTCTCCGGTAACCACCGCTCCCTCCCTGTGTAGACTGCGCCTTTCGCTGTGTTCCCTTTCCTTTGTGGTCAGGGTGAACGATCGAGAAAAACCCTTGACATGGCTCTGTAGTGTGTAAGAATAGTGCGGGAGAGCGTGACTAAGCGAAAATACTCGACAAGCCGTCAACGACTCCTCGACCAATTTTCACCCTCTAAGTCTCTTGTGACAGCAGTGACGACAGCACTCCTCTCTGCTCGTACACTTGAACAGCGTGGAGTACAGTAGATGTTGTTTTTCTTTGGCTAGCACCAGTTCTCGCTGTTGTTTCATGAGTAGGATTGAACGCCCGGTGCTAGCACATCTACCCATCATGTACTGCCGATACATCGATGACTGCTGTGTTATTACATCAACTCAATCGAAATGGATGAGTTGTTCAACATACTTAACAGTCAATCGCAGTACATCAAGCTGACACGGAAGTCCCACGCGAAGGTTGGCTACCTTATCTGAACACTCAGATACGAGTATCCAATGGGATGTACAATGTGAAATGGTATAGAAAAGGAAGCTCCAAAAATATCATCATTCACGCACTGTCGGCACACCCCAGAGCTGTTAAACGTGCAGTACTACGTAACATGTACAAAACTGCTGTGGAGGTGTGCACCGGTGACGAGGAGCGAGAAGATATCCAGATTAGCTCATCAAATAGCTAATCTTAACGGATACACAGCGCGGCAACGTGAACGACGAAGCAGACCAAGACTTCTCCCACGCAGAGCTGAAGACAGACTGTATCTTCAGCTACCATTCATATAAGATCATTTCGGGGAATAGATATACAGCAATGCAACAAGGGAGCTGATCTAACTAATGAGGTCTTCATCAACACCAGCTGGCCGCAAATCGCCTCTACGACCGAACCTGCGTCGTAGAAATTGCGTATCTGCCCATATGGGAAAGTCGGAGACTGTGCACAGAGATCTGTGGTTTACCAGCTTCAGTGCCTAACATGTAATGCCTTTGTACATTGGAGAAACTAGGCAATTAGGCGTGCGTGTGAAAGAACATCTTGCTAGCAAACGAAGAGAAAACTTGGTTGCACCGCTCGGTAAACACAGAAGGGAAAGTCATGCTGGTTCCGATTTCGACGTCAAATGTACGATATTGGCCTACGAAAACGACATCGGTGCTAGGAAAACCCTCGAAGCTTTCTGGATAAAGCTTCGTAATCCATATATGAATAACAGGAATGAATGCATCTCCATAACCGATGATTTCTTGCCATATATTCCACTATGTGAGCTCTGATTAAGAGGACGTGACAACTGCACGTTCGCATCATTGTGGGTGTGCGTGATCAGTCAGTCTCACTTTCTACCTGAGCTGACTCTAGGAAGACGGTGAAATTAAGGTGAATGACCAAAGTTGAATTCAACTCTGGTTGAACCCTTTGTTAGAGTCGTGACTGGTTAGGAGCAAGTGCGTTGAGCAGGATAGACTCCGTTTGGAAACTTTCATTCTCCTTCAAGTTCTTGACGACGAACTAGGCGAAACGTCGACTTCAATGAAACTCTCTAGTAAAAACCTGTTCGGCACAGAAAAATCGTCTGCTATCAAGGAAGTGTGTTGCCTCCATTAAAACAGAGACAGCGCGTTAACATGACCACTCCCTCGATTCGAACTACAATTATTGAAAGTCCACAGGCCATCACTTTTTTTCCCAGAATTCCACTAATTGCCTGTTTCCTGCTTTTCAGACTCAAAGCCGCACACCCTGTCAATAAGCCCGCCGGACTAAGTGCAAGGTGGATTGGGCGAATGGTGCGTGTATAATAAAAAAAAAAGTTTAAAAACTCTCGAAGAACGTCTAAGACACCTCTACATATCGTGGCGTTTACCGTTTCTTTTCTTCACCTAGTGCAAATAGCAAGTGGGTAGTCATCAGGGTTGTGCAACACCTCCCACCTGCTTTTAACCCCACATTTTGAGATGAAAAATGTCTGCCATTTCATCAAATTAGCTTTCACTACTGAGATAATGCGAATTTACGAAGAGGTAGGTAAGTATTAGTTATCAAATTAATAAAATAATAAAAATAAAACTATTAGATCTAATATTAAGAAGAAACTAAGTGGTAAGTAAGCGATACAGTAAGGAAAAGAGCCCTGAGACTGACCTTGGAAAAGTCAAATAGATCAACATAGTTGTGAAACAGATCCTGCGACGTTTGTGGGAAGCAATTTGTGCACGACGGTCGAATTCTGCAGATATTACGAAACGAGAAGTCCACAGCAGGGGAGACCAGCGGGTGAACTGGAAGATGCTTATACGGAGCAGATGGGAGATACTGAAATAGATTTTTTAAACTTTTCTCAAACTTGTCCTTTACATTTGACAACCATTCCCTGTCCTTCTTCTTGTTCCGAATAACCGAAACGTAAGCAAGTGCACATATGGAAAGTTTTTGAAGTGGGAAAGCCCGCTTAAGGAATTGAAAAGAGGCTGAAAGCGAAAGAGGAGCATCGAAGGGGAAAGAGGGACTCAATACGTGAATGGAAGTGCTAACATGCTCCATGCTAACGGAGCCCTGCTGTTAAAGCGGCCTAAGGTAAGTACAGCTCAGGCTTCTTGCAGTTCCCCACGCTTCATTAAATGAACACTACAAACATGACTTTATTCGCTTGATTAGCGGTTGACTCTCTCATCCCTCAACTCCAAACATAACCTCCGCACCTTGTGAATTGGCCTAGAGTGGCCTGAGAAGGTGTACTACAGACGAGGTTGTTGCCGCATTCATAACATAAAATATTGCTAGCGTGAGGCCGACAGGCTCCCTATTTCCCCAACGTGTCGAGTATCCAATGAGCTCCCTTGTCACACCATTTGCAGGAAAAAAAACATGCAGACAGTCAAACCAACATGCATACCGACGATAGGGCGCATTCATGGCCGGTCGTCCGATCGTAACATCGATCACGCAGCATAAGATACTTATCGATTCCAGTTCTCGGACACCTGTGGCAATCGATACCCACCTAAACGCTGTGCGATCGTTACGATCGGACGACCGACTATGACTGCGCCAAGAGACAACCAAACACGAAGTTAATGGCTTATGTGATGCAGGATTTTTGGGGATGGCCATCAGCTACACTGTCGTCGAGGTTTACGCAACTTTAGAAACTTCACAAAGAAACCGAATACATCAAAAACAGTGTCAATATGTACCTTATCCCCGGCGAAGC